GCTTGTCTGAGTGACCCAATTAACAAATAAGATCTAACTTGAGTAATTCAGAGTCATAATATTTAGGATAAAAGATACACAAGTGAGAATCAGAGCCATGAGGGAATTTTTCAGGAGAAAGTAAGACCTGAAGTGATCTTTGAGATGGATTTCATTCTAGACAGGCCTGAGAGCAACAAACACTGGGAAAGGGCCATTTTGTTCATGGCCAGTGAGAAATAATCACTTAATCAACAGAGAAAGAGAAAGCAATATTAAAAGCAAAACAAACCAAAAAACCTTCCCGACTGGAGTAGAGGTACCCTTGAAGAATAGAGGACATAATTGAATTAGTAGCTAAGGTGTGGCCAGGTGATGGTGAGCTTTAGAATTTAGGTGGAAGAATCTATAGTGATATGGTGACTGCCTGACTGCCATATAATCCTGAGGAATACTGGAGAACCTCAAGGTGGATGAGATATTTTACTATCAGTATAAAATTATATGATTTTGGTTTTGTTCAATTTTATTATAGATGTCTGTTAGGAGATAAAATTATCTCATTCTAGGTGATGTTAGTTTTTTTTTTAACCCATAACTTTGCTTGAACTTTTGGTGACTGCTAATGATTGTTTTCTAGGTTAATTCTAAAATACGTTAGGAATGAAAGAGATATTGAATTATTTGAAATCTGACAGCTTGCTTTTTGTTTCGTCTTTAAAGAAGGCTTGTGCTTGGGATTCTAACTTTTTGTTACATATATTTATTACAGTCAGATATGGCAGTTGTTCAATGTGATAACTAAGAACACAGACCTCAGAGATGGGGTAAGATTGGATTCAGCCTCAGCTCTACCTCTTACCAGTCTATGGCCTTGAGGAAGTTATTTTACTTACTTATGCCTCAGTTTCCTCATATAAAAAATGTGGATGATGGTAATAATAATACCTACCTCATTGAATTAAATTTGTATCTATAGTGTAATATAAATTATATATATACATACATATATGTATAGTTTTTAGAATAGTACTGGGCACAGAAGAAGCAATTAATAGGTATTAGCTATGATTATTTTATAGTAGCAAAAGTGTTCCTAATGTTATACCATAATGAAATGAATTCACATTTTATTGTATCTACAAATAACTATAAAACCTAGACATTGTATAAAAAGGTTTGAGAATCACAGCCAAAAATAGGAAGCAATTATAATTTTTATTAAAAGAGCGACATGATGAAAATGATTTTCTTCTCTTCTTAACTTATTCTCACCGTATACATTTTACCTGAACAATCTTATCCAACCCCATGGCTTTATTTATAGTATTTCTTATATGCTGACATTTAATTTCTTATCTCCAAACCTAACCTTTTCCCTCTAGTTCCTAACCTATATATTCGATTGACTGCTAGAAATCTCTTACTTTTTCAGGGAACACAGGGGTAATGTTTCTAACTCAGCTGTAGTTTAGATCTGTCACATCAGTAGAACTCTAATGCGCAGGTTCTAAGAATATGATCCCCTACCAGCAGCATCAGCATTACCTGAGAACATGTTATACATACAAATTCTTGAGTTCTACCCCAGATATAGAGGAGGGAGGGACAACAATCTGTGTTTTAACAAGACTTACAGGTGAACATGAAGCATGCTAGAGTGTGAGAACTATTGGTCTAAAACTAAGGCTTATGCTTTGTTCTTCTGTAATTAGTTTGTGACGCCTTCACCCTTCACAGGAAGGTTCAGATTTTCAAGTAGGAAAGATGACTGGTGAGCTAACAAGAGCATGTGCAGGAAGGAACAAGACTAGTACTAGAGACATGTACCTGGTGACTAATGAAATAATACAGATAAAAGCATCACCTAGGGCAAAACAGTGGGCTGTTTTATGGCTAAAGCAAGAGTATTCCAGGTTTCATTCTTTCAAGTCTGCTGTTGAAACTATTAGCTCCCTCTCTCTAACTATGTAATCTTAATAAGCTTCAATATTTTAGTGGAATTATTGAAATTTCTAATTAAAAGTTATGATTATAAATACTTTTAAAAGGTTGGTGAAGGTGTTTTGTTCGCCAAAGATAAATAATGTACCTAGATTTTCTGAATCATGAGTCTTTGTGCCCATTAAAAGTAACCTTCAACCTCTAAAAAGTCTGGGTGGGGTAGACAGGGAGATTATTTATATAATTTAGGAAATGGTATCCATGGAATTTTCCCAAATAGATCTTAATGTACTTGGGAATAATTTTTACATTAAAATCTGTGTGAGAATTAGATCATAAGGTGAAATTGGACTTTAAAAGTATTTTCATTTTTTATATTTCTAACTTAAAAAATATATGCCTTGTTCTAACTATTGATCAATTTAGATGCCATTCGTAGCAAGCCATCTGCCAAATGATTTTCTCCTTAGAACAGAAATGTAAGAACTCAAAACCTTCTTTTTCTTTAATGCAGGCTTTAAATACGAGAGGTGAAATATCTTTAAAGAAGGTAATACAGAATAAAGATAATTTAAATTTAAGCTAAATTCTACTTTATGTTCAAACAACTAGAAGAGAAAAAAATCAAAGGTAGGTTTTAAATCATTCTGGAACTTAGTATAAATAATTTTCCAAAAGCATTTATCCTAATGCACTTAGGAAGCTTGTGTGAAAATTATATAACTTCTTTTTTTCTTTTGTTTAGTTATTCATTTATTAAGTCAATGTATTATCAATGTATTTGTTTGGTTTTGGTTATAAAAAATGAATAAGACATAGAAGATCTATTCAAGAAAAATCAGTAAAGATGTAGATCTGAATATTATAAACGATATTAACCTAATTGATATATATATAGAACTCAATAACAACAGCATGCTCGTTCTTTACTAGTGCACATAGTGTTTTCACAAAGATAGACCATATGTTGGGCCAAAGAAAAGTCTACATATACTAAAAGAGGATAAAAATCATGCAGAATATGTTCCCAAATCACAGTAGAATAAAATTAGAAATCAATAACAAGATCTGTATAAACCCCAAATATTTGGGATTAAACAACTTCTATGTAATTCGTAGATCTAAAAAAATGATATTTAGATTTTTTTTAACTAAATAAAAATTAAAATACAACATATCAAAGATCGGAGTCCAGTTAAAATAGTGCTCAAAAGCAAATCTACAGCTTTAATTGATTAGAAAGAGTGCCGTATAATAATGACCAAAATAAATAGAAATAATGAGAAGTAGAAATTAATGGAATAGAAAATAAATAATAGAGAAAATTTTCAAAGCCCCAAACTGATTCTTTGGAAGGATCAATCAATCTTATTAACTTTTAGCTAAACTGATTAGGGAGAAAAGAAGAGAGAGGAGAGAGAAAAGAAACAAATTACTAACACTAGGAAAGAAAGTAAAGTTTTCTTTGTAAGTCTTATATACATTAAAAGGGGTTTAAGGGAATCTTGTAACTATATGCTTCCAAATTTGATAGCTTAGATGAAAATTACAAATTTCTTGAAAAATACCAAAATTGTGTCAATTTACCAAAATTGACACAAGATAAATAAGAAAATCCGAATAGCTTTGCAGCCACTAAAGATAATTACTTTATTATCCAAAAACTTTCCACAAAGAAAACTTTAGAGCTATAGGATTTTGCTGGTGACCTCTATGAAACACTCATGAGGAATCACACCTTTCTTACTCCTTTAGAGGAAAATGTTCACATCTCATTTTATGAGACCAAAATAACCCTAATACCAAAACTCGATAAAGAAAATAACATATCAATAACTCTCATGAAAATATATGCAAAAATCCTTTATTATATTAGCAAATTAAATCCAGTAATACATAAACATTTTCTTTTTAAAAATTGAATCAGACACTGTTTCTGTTGTCAGGCAATGCATCATTTAGAGGGTAAATAAGACTATAAAATTTCATCATGTCTTCAAACAGAGTTAAACAATTGCAAAGAACATTCATGTTTCCTAATATTAAAAAATAAATAATCTTCATATGACAATATAATTAGATAATTAAGGAACAACAAACATTTAATGAAAACTAACAGCATCAAAATCCATATTGAAAGAATAAATGGTAGAAATAAAAAATAGTACAAATGATGGGGAAAATGGTGACAGAAGAGAAAAAAAAGGGTTTTGCTTTTTGCATTTTACTGAGTGATTAAAAATAACATTACATCTTAAAATATGTATACAATACTATAACAAAAAGAAGAATTCAGAAAACAAAAGCATTCTTGAAAAATAAAATATGTTTGTTAAATAAATGTTTGTTAAATAAAAACAGAAATCAAGAGACAGGCTAGAGAAAATAGGAAGATAATGAGATGAAAATTATGAAAAGATGAATTTAATAGATCCAACATTCATTTAATAAAATTTTGAAAAGTGAAAAAAAGAAGAAATGAAGGGAAAAAATAATCTGAGAAGCAAAAGTTGTTTTATCCATCTTTAGATTAAGTGCTGAAGTGGGTAAATTAAAAACAACAACAAACAAAAAACCCCAGACACATTATGTGAAAATTTTAGAGTAGTATAAATATGATGATCCTAGAAGTATGCATTTTCAGAAATTCAAAGACTTAGAAAGTTTATCTCCCATGCATTATTGCAATAAAATTCTGTGAGAATAAGTTAGCAAAACAAAAGAACACAAGAAAAAGAACATGGAGTTGAAGAGAAGGTACAAAAGAATGACTGGGGAGTAATTATGCAGCAGACAGAGAAAGCATTAATATCAAGTTTGAACAGGAATATCTGTTCCTCTGAGAAAATATCATTTCAAAATGAAAATATTATACATTTAATTAAATGAACAATATTTGTGATTAAGGAGTTGCGATAGCTTATGAATGTAGTTAAGGTGGCTTATATTTCTTTTCTCAGCAAAAACAAATAAAAAAGAATGGCAGTCAGAAAAAACTAAATTTTTATAAGCTAATTATAATTTAACTATGAAGCAAACAAACATTTGGCATGGTTTGGAGAAATTCATGTGTGGCGTAAAAGCCTCACATATGGTGAAAGAAAATAGGTTTCATTTATTCTTGTCCTTGTAACATTTTCAATTTGAGTTGCACAGAGAAAGGCATAGAATTTATTTTCTTTCCAATCATACCAGTTGTTTTTATAATGAACAATATTTCTCAATAAAAACATTTTAAGTGCTATTTATTGATTTTCCTTTTTTGATGGTTTCTACTTCTCTGCTGAAATTCTCAATCTTACACTTGAAATCTTTGAACATATTAAGCAAGGCTAAAGTTTGTAACTATTTCTGAATTTCTGTGGATCTATATGTATTGTATGTTGTTTCTCTTTCCCCTCCTCCTCCTTCTTCTATCAATTTATTGTCTCCTTTATTCCTGGTTATTTGTGTTTGAGTGCTCTACATTCTTTGTGAAAAATCATGAAATTAATTTCAGGTCTACAGTGACATTTTTCTGGAGAGAATTCATGTCCGTTTTTGAGAGATGGAGATGTTTCCAGAGCTGACTTTCAGTTTCATCCTATTTCTGGTTCATTTTTTTTTTTAGAGTAATCCCTTCGGAGTCCCAAATCAAAGTCTCACTGGTTTACCAGGGTCCATCCAGCTTGCAAGCCCTAAACTCTAATTTTTATCCCATGGCTTGGTAAGACTATTGAAAAAATCTAGCTCATCTCAGAAATTTACACTTGAATTAGAAGCTACCTCTAAGAGAAAAGCAGCTCCAAATGGTGGGTTTACCTCCTTGTGTATAAATTATCTAGGATGTCATCATTGGAAGCAGAACTCTCTTTTATTGATTTCTAATTGAGAAAATATTTTTTTAAAAACTCTAGAAACTTAAATATATCTTTTATAATATAAATGTTATAAAACTTAATAATGTAAAAATAATGATTTCTTTGAAAGAAGTAAGAAAGTGGAGAGTGAAGGAAAAATGAAGGATAGTACATGCATAATTCATAATTTCCTTGTTTTACAAACCACAGATTCAAGATTTCGTGTCTACAGTTAGTGAGACTAGAACTAGAGGTTTTACACATATTAAGTTATATAATAATATAATAGTTATACAATTATAAAAATAGCATAATTATAAAAGTTACAAAAATAGTTTATGTACCTAAAAAGCAACAGCAACAATGAAACTAAAAAATTTAAGGGTATTAGGAAAGTGAGGAAAAGCATAAGAACTAATTTGTCCTCTTTCATATCAGTAGTCAAAAATAACGCAGAACACTGATAAATCAACTTTACTTAGAAATGTGGCAACAAACAACAGATCTAAATACAAAAATTTAAAAATGGTTATCTCTTGGGAATGTGCCTAGAAATCAGGAAAGCTGATGGAAGATTTTTTCTTTTTATATACACCCACTCTAAAATGTTTAACTTAAAAAAAACCAGAACTAATTTGGGGGAAATTAGGAAAAGTTTTATAAAGATATAATGCAAGCTGTATTTTAATGGATTTTTTTATCTCCTTGTTAATAAAAAAAAAATGTGGTCATTCTAAGGAGAGAGAATGGTTTGGAAAAAGGCTTGGACATTTGACATATGGCCTATTTTAGAAATGAAAAAAAGATTCTGTAGATTGTAGCATCCAAATGAAGGAAGCAAATGGTAGGAAACGAGGCAAATGAATGAGATAGGGGCCAGAGGATAAAGGGTCTTGGAAGCTTATTCCCCAAAGTTTTTCATTTGAGAGTCTGGGAGGTGGTTCTCTATTTCTTGAAACAAGGAATACTGGAGGCAAAGCAATTTCAAGATTTATTCTCAGTTTCATCTTAAAGCTTATAAAGAAGCTCCTTGACTACTGTATGTAGTGTATTAAATGTATAACTATTGAATGTGGTAGAAGAACTCAATAAATATTTGCTGATTACTTTGGCACAATAGTACCTTGAGAGGATTCAATAAGATAATTTATCTAAAAGTCTCAACTTACATTACGGTTTCTGAAGAAAAGAGTTTTGGAATTTATTATGTCTCGATGAGCTTTGTGAAACATTGCCTTCATTCTCATTCAGCCCAAATAATCATTCTTGGCATTCTATAAAGTATATTCAGGTCATTTTAACTTTGTATATGATTAATAAACATCTATACCACACTAGCGAAAAATAATACCCATTCTGATCATGGTAAACCCTGTGCTGGTCTGATGGGCCTTTCAGATTATGAACAACTTCAGATTTCTTTTCAATGAAAGGGGAACAAGGGAAGAGCTTGTGTATTTTGAATTCCTCTTTTTAAATAAGATATTAATTTACAAAAATGGTTTTATCTGTATGAAAGCTTTTAGGTTAGGTTTGCTAAGAGTTTGTGCAGTACAGAAGGAAGTTTGCAATGTGATGGAGATATTAACATGTGTTAATCTCTCATGTTTTAAAAGGGTGAAGGTATGGATCCTTTTCTGGATTTGCAATTAAAGTGGATGTGTCGTCCCACTTTCTCATCTACGTAACTGAGGAGTCAAAGGTTTGTAAACAAGATGCCGAGAATCCAATATGGGGCAAAGTGAGGACACAGATGCTAGCCTAGTTGCACTATAATTATTGATACCGCACTTTCATGAAAGCAGTTGAATCCTTTTTAATAGCTGGGCTAACTGCCACCCAGATTCATACAGAACAATCATTCCAGAACAGAAGGTAACCGAGGACATGTCCGAACAGATACTTATTGTCCATTCTCTTCAGTAAATGAAGATCTATGAGCATATATTCTATCATATATCTTTCTTCTTGTTATGGGTTCAATTGTGAACTGCACTCCCCCCATCCCCTAAAAAAGGTACCTTGAAGTCTTAACCTTCAGTACCTCAGAATGTGACTTTATTTCAAAATAGGGTTGTTTCAAATTAACTAGTTAAGATGAAGTCATACTGGAGTAGACTGGGCACCTAATTCAATATGACTGGTATCCTTATAAAAAGAGAGCCACGAGAAGACACAGAGACACAGGAGAAAGCCATGTGAAGAGGAAAGCAGAGATTGGAGTGATGCAGCCACAAGCCAAGGAACACCTGAGGCTACCAGAAGCTGGAAGAAGAGAGGAAGGATCCTCCCCAAGAGGCTTCAGAGAGCATGACACATTGATTTCAGACTTCCAGCCTCCAGAACTGTGAGTAAATTTCTGTTGTTTTAAGCCACCCAGTTTGTGATACTTTTTACAATATGCCTAGGGAACTAATATACCTCTACTGATCCCTAAATGCAGATAAACTGAAATATAAAATTAACCTCTCGATTAAACTGAGCAATCTCATAATAATGGCTTTTGATATTTTGGTCTCACTATCTTTCAAGTTTTTTTTTTTTTTTAAACATCTATAGCACCTGGTGTTCCTAGATGGTCTTCCATCCAAGTACTAACCAGGCCCGACCCTGCTTAGCTTCCGAGATCAGACAAGATCGGGCATGTTCAGGGTGGCATGGCCATAGATTCTGTTAAATATTTTTATCAAAAAAATCTTTTGCAAATCTTTTCCTAAAAGGCCACATAATTTTCTGCTTTGTGGATACAGTAATTTATTTTATAATTTCTTTTTGTTAGATATTTAACTTGTTTATTTTTCATCCTTTTAAATTTTTTCTTTTTTTCTAAATAGAATTACAATAAACATTTGGTAATCAAATATTTGTCGACTTTTTTGACAATTAGGAAAAATATGTAGAATAATTATTAGATCAAAGGGCATGAAATTTTAATATTCTTAATATACATTATCAAATTGCTTCCAATAAAGCAATGTTGTAGCAATTTATTACTTGCTCCTGACATATTTTAAAAGAGCCCTTTTAGAGCTGTATCCCAACATTCAGAATTTTTATTAAAAAGCATTCTCTGCTAATTTGATTAGCAAGGAATTAATTGTTTTAATTCTCATTACTTTGAATAGTGAGATAGACTATTACTTCCAAATGTTTATTAACTCCTAGTACTATTTCTATGATGCTTCTATTCATGTTCTTCATTCTTTTTTAAAATAAGTTCCTTGTATGAAATGTATTTCTTCCTTATGTGTGGACTATATTGTCATTTTTTCAGTATCCTTATTTGTAACATCAAGGTAAGAATAAGTATTCTCTAACATTGCAGTAAAAACTAGATATGCTGAATATACCAAGTACCAGGAACATAATACTTCTTAAAAAATGGGAGTACTTTATTATAATTTCATATGAGGCTAAAATCAAATGACCTGCATATATTCTCACTTATCTGTAAGATTTAGCAGCACAATTACTTTAACTCTTCAAATAAATTTAATTCCTATTTGTGGAATGACTTTGGTCATTTTCTTCTGTACTCTCTATAGTCTTTGTGAAGGCTGAACAAAAGTGGAGAAATTTGCTGGTCTGGAGACTCATTGTGGGAAAATTCACAGAGGTGTGGAACACTTGTGTGGGGTAAGGATTAGGACTGTGCAATCAGACCACCTGGGTTCAAATCCTGACTCTATGTATTGGTGAATGGGTGTGTTTAAACAAGTAAATTAATCTTTTTATGCCTATTTTCTCTTTCATAAAATGAGAATTAATAATGCTAGTGATCTCATAGATCATTGTTAAGGTTAAATAAGCTCTATTAGTTATCTGTTGCTGCATATCACATTACCCCAAATCTAGCTGCTTAAAACAATAATTAACATTTATTATCTTACACAGTTTCTGTGGGTCAGGAATTGAGCATGGTTTAGTTGGGTGGTTCTAATTCAAGGTCTCTTAGGAGGCTGTGGTCAAGATGTCAGCTGGGGTGATAGTCATCTAAAGCCTGACTAGGGCTGGAGGATCTGCTTCCAAAATAATCATTCGTGTGACTGGCAAGTCAGTGCTAGCTCCTGGAATAAGGCCTAAGTTCCTTGTCCTGTGAATCTCTTTCCAAGGCTGCTTGAATATTCTAACAACATGGCAACTATCTTTCATATGATCAAAAAAAGAAAGCAAGGAGGAAGTTGCAATGCCCTTTTGGCCAAATCTTGAAAGTCTCAGTGTTACTTATGCCATTCTCTAATAATTAGAAGCTGTCACTATTTGTGTCCTATACTCAAAGGAAGGATAATTAGGCCTTACCTTTGGAAAAGAGAAGTATCAAAGAATTTGTAGACTTATTTTAAGACAACCAAATAACATGTGTTCTACATGTAGTTAAGTTAGCAAATGGGAAGAGCTCAAAAGATGTTAGCCATCATATCACCATAATCATCATCATCTATAGCACTACATTAAGGAATTGCAAGTTGTTCTGTAGTGGTGGCTTTTGGGTGCATGTGAGGTGTAATAGAAATTGATACCCAGGAGACAGGTTGAAAGGGGCCTTGCATGTGATAATGCAGCATTTTCATTTTTCTAATAAGTCTTTGGTTTTCAAACTGTGCCACTCCTAGGGCACGTAGGCACAGAGAACAAGTGATGCTTAAAGCAACAGAATAAATACATGTTCAGTCTACTGAAGTACCATTTTATTTTATTTTATTTTTTAGGTAAAACTAAAAAGTAATGAGTTATCAAGCCATGAAAATACATGGAGTAATCTTAAATGCTTATCATTAAGTGAAAGAAGATAATCTGAAAAGGCTATGTACTTTATGGTTCCAACTATATGACATCTGGAAATGGCAAAACTGTAGAAACAGTAAAAAGGTTAGTAGTTGCTAGGGGTTAGGAGAAAGAAAGGGATAAATAGCAGAGCACAGAGGATTTTAGGGCAGTAAAACTATTCTGTACAATACTATTATGGTAGACATGTATTTGTCAAAACTTACAGAATGTATACCTCCAAGAGTGAACCCTGATGTAAACTATGGACTTTGGGCGATAATGACTTGTTAATGTAGGTTCATGAATTGTAACAAATGTTCCACCCTGGTGGGGGATATTGCTAATGGGAGAGCCAACACATGTGTAGGGAGTAGGAGATGTATGGAAAATCTCTGTACCTTCTGCTCAATTTTGCTGTCAATGTAAATCAGCTCTAAATAGTCAATTTGAAAAAAAGTAAATATATTGAAAAATAGATTGTGAAGTTGCTTGGATTTTAAAGATGAAACATTAAACACAAGTGTCATGTTGCCTTTCTAAAGGGCTGCTTTGGATTATACACCCTATCCTGACTAAATAATTTACTTTTTCTCCATTTGGGGTATCTTAATGGAGAAATTAAGTGACTCGGTTAGTTGATAAGGGGTTACCGAAGGATCCTAGGCAGGATAAAAACTAGATATTTTAAAACAGTATCTCAGATAAGAATATTGAAGAAATTTTTGGTAAAAGAAGAATGATAAATATTTTAATTTACCTAAAAGATATTAAAGGCATTGCAATGCCCTAATCATTAAGCATTTAAAAAAATAGGACAAAAATAAATAAATAAATAATCTATTTATAAGTTTAGTTGTCAGAAATAGATGCTGGTATATACCTAAAAATCTAACATAGAATGAAGTAGGTATTACTACCAGTGGGGAAAGAAATTAATTCATTGCATGTCAGGGGGAAAATTGGCTTTTGGAGAAGGAAATCTATTTCTAGTCTTGCCTTGCATTATATATTAAGATAAATTCCAGATAGAGGTGATAAATGTAAAAATACAATCATAAGAGACTTGTAGAAAATGAATGTCATTTACTTACTGTCTGGATGTAAAGGGATTTCTAAATGTACAAGCATTAGAAGGACTCACTAGGGAAAACAAGTCAATAGATGTATATAAGTATTAAACCTTTGTATAACACATTAAAAAATCTTAAAACAAACTACAAATACTGATAGATGGCATTCATTGTGTACCAACTATGTGCTAAACATGTTAGGAACTTTGTCTAAATTACTTACTTTTCATCTTCACATGAAACACCAAGGGCTCAGCATCATTACCTCCATTTAACAAGTGAGGAAATCGAGACTGCAAGATTACATCAGTAATTTACAATTCTGGTTCCACTTTGAATTACACAAGGAACTTTAAAAAGATCCATGCCTAGGCCCCATACCCGAGCAGTTTAATCAGAATTTCTAAAGTGGCACATGGGCACCCAATGCTTTGCCCAAAGTCACAGAACAAAGACAGAGAAGAGATCTTTCTGCCTTACTGGACTTTTCCTATACTACATGGAAGAATTTCTTTAAAATATAAATAGCTGCTTAGTTTTCAAAAACTGCAAAAACCTAAATGAAGGCTTAACTTAAAGCAGAAAAAATATTAGGTATGAGGATGTATTTGTTGATCCATTTGCAGCATGAACTCCATAATCTGTCTTTAGGGTATCAGTAAAAAACCCACAGGGCTGGAGTGGACAACGCTCTGAGAGCTCTTTCAAAGCTATGTGCTGAAAGAAATAATAGAAATGTAGGATGACTAGGGAAAAGATAGCATTTTGATGGTCTAACAATTTTGAAACAATAGGAAGTGCATGGACAACATGTAAGATGTTTGTATGAATAGACTTTCTTTGGCTTATTATTGCCATTGTAACTTCTTCCCCATAAAGCGATACTTGATCTGCGTAAGTGACTTTATTGCATTGATTTGTTTTGTTTTGTTTTAATACATAGGTTATAGATATGTAGGTACACACAAAAGGATTTTAAATTTGAAAAATAAGTAATTATAACTCTTGTAAACTGATGAGAAGAATATAGGAAAGTATATACTTGGAAACTTTTCAGTACCATAATATAGAACTTACTAATATTTTTGCAAAATAATTTTCACGCACAGTTTTAACAGAGGTATTCACAAGCCCAATGTTGAATTAGATGTTTTGCATAATGTATATTTGGCATAAATATTTAAAGTGTTAGATAAAATATATATTTTAAATTAATTAATTATTTTTTTAATGGTGACATTGGTTAATGTTTTTTTAATGATGACATTGGTTAATTTTTTTTAATGGTCACATTGGTTAAATTCAATAAGTTTCAACTGTACACTTTAACAATAAGTCATATATATATTTACCCTGTATGTTCACCTTCTATAGTTATATTTCTCTCTGTCACCACATATTTTACTTCTTTTACCCTATCTAATTCCCCCTTTCCCCCTTTCCTCTCTCCTCTGGTAACCAATAGTCTATTGCATCGTTTTTAAGAGCACAGATTTTGTAGACAAATCACCTAATTTAGTCCCCCATAATACTCTTTATAACTGTGTAATCTTAGGTAAATTACTTAACTTCTCCATGACTCAGTCTCCTCAATCGTAAAATAGAAATAATAATTGTATTAATGATGTGTAACAAATCATCTGAAACACTAGTCGTTTAAGATCTCTCATGGTTTTTACGGGTAGGAATGCAAGAGCAGCTTGGTTGGGCAGTTCCAGCTCAGGGCTTCTTTAAGCTGGGGCTGTAGTCATCTAATGGCTTGTTTAGGGATGGAGCATCTACTTCCAAGGCAGTTCACTCACACGAATAACAAAATAGTGCTTATTGTTGATGGGAAGCTTTAGTTTCTTTTCATAAAGTCCTCTCTACTGGATTGCTTGAAAGTTCACATGGCATGCCGTCTGACTTCCTCCAAATCAAGTGATCCAAGAGAGCAAGGTGGAACTTGCAATGCGTTCAATGACTTAGCCTTGAGGTCACACACCATCACTCTTGCAGTATTCCATTGGTTACACAGATCAACTTTGGTTCAATGTGAGAAGAGACTACATCATTGTGCCAGGAAGCAAGGCTCATTGGGGGCCATTTTGAAATGGCTACAAGTTCCTAGTTTATAGGTTTGTTGCAATGAATATATAGATACTTAGAATAGAGGCTTAGACAAATAGTTTAGAACATACTTAGACCAGAGCAAAATATATATATTTGTGTATATATGTATATATATATATTTGTGTATATATGTATACATATATACACATATATACATATGTATACATATATATACGCATGCACATATATATCACATTTGAAAAAGAGTTTAGACATTAAAAATATTATATAACTAAATCAGAAATAATATATTGTGTATATATGTATATACACACACACATATATACACACAAATATATATGTATCTCACATTTGACAAAGAGCTTAGACATTGGAAATATATAACTAAATCGGAAATTCTGGAAGTGGGGTCCAGGCATTAGTATTAGTAGTTTAAATATCACTTCAGGTGACTGTAATAAACAGTCAGTTTTGAGTAGCACAATTCTATCTCAATACTTAGTTTCATGGTGATAATCAATCCTGAAGCTCTAGATGAGAGGTTCTCTATTTTGGCTACACAGCAGAATCATCTGGAGAGCTTTTAAAAATATAGATGTTCAGGCTGAACACTGGGCCAGTTGTTTTAGAATCTCTGGGGCATGGGACCCAAGCATCAGTATTTTTAAAAAGATTCCTGGCCATTTCAATGCACAGTCAAGTTAGAGACCCATTGCTCCAATTATTTAACTTGGATGATTGTATTCCAGCCCCTCATTTCTCCATGAGCTAAGCTCTAACT